TCCCGCTTGACACGCCCCTTCATCTGATACTAATCAACGAGCTCTAAAATATAGAATCTCAATACCCTGGATTTTACTCAGTCTGACTATGGGAGCATAACAGGTCATGTCAACACATTTGGCCCCAGCGCCATCCACAGAGATGGTTAGGTGGATGTGGCGCCCTGGAATTTTCAACCCAACAAATATTGGAACCGGTAAAATTTCGTTTTTCTAGGTGGAAGTCTGTTCGGATTGTGGTCTCATAGGATACCATGGTTGGTGCCAGAATTGTCGATCCAGTAAATCCCTGGCAAATATCAAGATCCCATATGCGTGCAAATTACTATTTCAAGAGTTACAATCGATGAATATTGTGCCTAGGCTTGAACTAGCAAGGTATACTCAATAATGTTAATGTTGTTACTTCAAAACTTGTTAATAAGAATGGGAATCTATTTGATTGTTCACAGTTTCATTAGGATATATCTATAGAAATTGTTGCTTGTTAGTCGACTTGAATTTGTCTGTTGTTGTTTGTTTTCCAGTTTTGCGAAAAGGTTTTTATTGAACTACGAGTAGAGTGTTTAAATGTTACTTCCTTTCATATGCTATCTTGGCCGTTGAATTTTAGGTGTGGAACGTTCTCCGCCTAGATCTTCTTTGTTATTGTTTGATAGTTCTAATTTGAGCGATTTTATATTTGTCAAATTTGAGGGCATATTGAATTTTCTTAGTTTATTCAGTAATGCTTATAAATTATCTTTTCCTATCGTCTATAATGGGCAGGAGGTGTGTAGTGACAAGTGGCGCGCTTACCACTCGCGCGGTCCTGGGTTCGAATCCCAGGTCGATTCCCGCCCAGGCCAACCAAGCCTTCTCCTCCGGGGACGGTAAATTGGTACCAGATTCGTCTGGGAGGATAAGAACACGGACATGGGCTGGCCCCCGCAAGTCATTGTATAGGCCACATCGCATTCAATAAGCCACTACGATTCTGAATGGAAGTAGAATGCGTGCCGCATCCCACAAGGGGTTGATCGACGGCGCAAATTTTATTTTATTAATATTTATTTTATTGTCTATCCGATGTTGTCTATCTGATTTACATGGTACGTGACAGTTATCTGCTGTGACCTTTCATTAAAAAAGGTCTGGTTCAGATTATCAAGGTAGTATACTCTAGTAGATGCCATTTGAAGGCACTTTCCGCGCTGGTTGTAGGGGTGGAGTTGGGTTCATGTTGCTCGAGGATTCGGAGGGTGAAGCTGGTGTAGCTCCTGGGGTGGTCTATGACAGGCAATCGTCTTTCAAGTGGGACAGTACGGAACATTAAATTAGTGGATCGGTAGTAGATTCCCATTGCCAGGTAGAATTATTGGAGGAAACATGGCTTCACGTACGGTTCACCAGTCATGAAAACTTGAAATCAAAGACAGTTTTCGCGATAAAATGAGGCTATGACCTCTTAAACATGTCAGACGATCTGGAAGGCGATTCTGGAGGCTGTGCTGCCTTCAAAAAGTGAAAATTGGCAAGAACTTTGCTGAAAGTTGACCAATTAGGCCCAGGGGGCACCCCTCAGGCCCATGCCGACTCCACTGGCTAGTAGCCTACTATGCTATCTCTCTCCATTCCGAATGGTGAGAGTGAGGTGATAAGATAAAAGAGCTAGCATCGTCATGATAACGATGAGTGGAATTTCGTACAAAAACGCGCTCTTCGTTGCGTGCACGTATAAGTTGAGGTCGGGATGGCGTCCGATTTAGGGCATTTCAGACTGTCTTTTCTCCACACATCAGTTATAGCACTTTCTCGTTCGTATGTGGGCTGCGTTGCCCGCGATCCGTTGGTCGCGGGCTCCCCTCAAGTGATACAGACCAGTTAGTTACGCGTGACAATCCCTCACCACTTTTTGCTATGACACGTCAATGTGATCGTGACTAAACAGCTGCCGGATTGACTCCCTCCCAGGCTGAACCAAGACTTCTATTCTGCGGGGTCTCCGATGTCCGATGCGGGTTACAGTGATTGGGACCAGGTTTATCTAGGAGGATAAAACGCTGAATTCATACCGGCTGTGCCACGCAAATCATTGTGTAGGCCCCATCGCATGAACTGAGCCACTACGCCTCTAATTGAAAGCAGTAAGTGTGCCTCATCCCATAAAGATGCTGATTATTGGTGAGAGCTTTATCCCTCATTCCTTTTACTCTAAATCTGTTTGGTACGCTGAAACTGTTGAAATGACCGTCTGCGGGCGGAGTCTGCGTACGGGTAGGATACGTTTTGAGTACAGTAAAAGTGTTGTGCGCTGTGGACGCTGGAACGTTCCCGGGAGGTTGGCTTTGACGCGGCGCCAGCCTGCCACTAACTGGGGAGCTTGTGAGCGACAACAATTGGTGGAGAACGGGCTGGCGCCGCGCCAAACGCAGCCCCTGAAACGCCCTAGCGGTCGCAGCGAACAGGGATCAATCAAACTTGAGCTACATCACTCCTAAGAAACAAGTAA